TTTTGTACCTACTCCTAATATCAAAAGACAAAATCAAAGCCAAGCACACTGATGCACAACTTACAATCCTAATACTCAAGAGAGGCTGAGGCAAGAGGACTGCAAGTTTGAGCTAAGCCTGAGCAACTTAGTTACTTAGTGAAGCCCTCCAAAAAAAAAAGCCTAAAAGGGGGAGAACTAGGGACACAGCTGAGTGGAAAGGTCCCTGGGTTCAATTCCCAATTAAAAAAAAAAAAAGTTAAAAGTCTTAACAAACTTTGGGAAACCATTTGTTATGTTGAAAAAATTTAATATACATCATACAGTTCATGTTCATATAAAAGATTTGATAAAGTTTAAAAATTGGCAAAGGATAAGAAGGAATTATGAGAGAAGATACATTTCTAAAAAGTATCCTAAAAGATCCTCAATGTTTTCATAATTTAAAAAATGAAAACAAGTGAAATACTATTCACCTATCAGACTAACAAAAACAATATATTACTTCGTAAGTAGTCCCTACAATGTACAATACAAAAATGGGCATTCTACTAACATTACTGGTATAATGACTAAAAATTTGTGCAAAGCTGTGTTAGCTTTCTCTCACTGTGACAAAATACCTGAGAAAAATCAATTTATAAGGAGGTAAGGTTTATTCTAGCTCACAGTTTTAGAAGTTTGAGCCCATGGTAGCTTGGGCCTGTTGCTTTGGATCTGTATGAGCATATGGCATAGGAGCTGATCCCTTCACAGTGGCCAGAAAGCAAAAAATAAAATAAAGGCGGTGGAGGTACCAGGGTCCCAATATTGCCTTCAAGGATATACTTACAATGACCTAACTTTAATTTCCATCAGGCCCCACCTCTAAAGAAGCTTAAAAGGGTTCTGCAATCTCCCATTAGTGCCTGAGAGTAAGGACAAGATTGAACACAAGGACCTGTGGGAGACATTCAAGATCCAAATTATACATGCACTTAACAAAAGCAAAAGAACCAAACTATAGTAAAAACTTTAAAGTCTACTCTGGGAATTTTCAATATAAACAACAAAAGTAGAGAATACTAGTACAAAGAATCCTAACCAACTTTAATATTATGCCTTTGTGGTCACAAAGGCATAATATTCCTTCAACTTTTAGTGGGAGAAATAAAATCCTATCATTTATAAAGACTGACAGACAATAGCCTTCAAAAATTATCAACAAATCAATGATTCTCAACCTGCTTTTTGCCATGGGCTCTTGGCTCCTTTTGGTAGTCTGATGAAATCTGTAACTCCTTGTCATAATGTTTTAAAATGCATACAAACACATGTCTAGAAATAAAATCAGTTATATTGAAATTTAGTTATAAATAGATAGACATATCTTTCTGGTACTGGGAATCGTACCCAGCAAACTCATGTACATTTAGGTGAACACTATCACTAAGTTACATTCCAAGTTTGTCAAAGTATCTTTTAAAAACTGTCTCTTTATTAAAGTTAAGAATGCTAGTAACATTTATTTCATTTCAGACATCTTTTTTATAGCTAGTATGAACAAGGGCCCAAATAGTCTTCACATTACAATTTTTGGCTCCTATGTTTTCAGTGTCTTCAAATCTATCACTATTCTTTCCCCACTCTTCCATGCATTTAGTTGACATACAGCCTGTCTCATATGGATTTGGCTGGTGTATATCCTTGTGATATTCCTTGATCTCCCTTTAGCAAACTGGTAATTATTTCTAGAGGCTTAAATTATCTTCCAATTTCTTGTTGTTGGTTGTTAAAAGAAGACAAGTATTCTTGAGTATTTACTGACATATATTAGGAGACACATTATGGATGAACCTTTTGCAGTTGAGACTGAATGGAAGATTTAGTGATATTAAACTAATTAATCAATTATAAAATTCCCCATCAAATCTTCACTTTGAAGATGGAGGGACAGAAGGGAAAGGAGGGGGAGGGAAAAAGGATCTAGATGCCATAAGTATATGTACCAATTCCCAATGATGAAAATATTTATTACGTATCATAAGCATACACAAATAAATTTTTTAGAAAACAAGTCAAATGGGAGCACCAACCCACTTAAAAACAAAAACAACAAAACAAACCTTCACCTAGTGGTTTTATAAGCCATCAATGATCACTGTCTGAATTTATTATTGCCAAAATAATTATTTGCTAACTCTACCTGCTTTCAGAAACTGAGTTTTCTAGAAAGAACTTTGCCTAATGATTTAATTATGCTAGTATACAGATCCTACAAGAAAGAATATATGCTCCTACGTGGTTTTGACAGTTTGGCTACTGTTACATTTGTTTCCATTTTTTGGCCTTTATGAATTATAATTGTTTCATAATTACATAAAGCATTTAGCTAGTTCTAAAACTATCAAACACTGCTGGGGATTTAGCTCAGTGGTTCTGCTGCCTGCCTTGCAAGCGCAAGGACCCGAGTTCAATCCCTGGTACCAAAAAAAAGTCTTCTTAAAACTATCAAACAAAATATATTCAGAGTTCTGCTTCTACTGAGCATGGTGTCACTCTGGAAGGCTGAGGCAAGAGGATCACAAGTTCAAGCCCAGCCTGGGGAAGGAACTTACAGAGACCCTGTCTTAAAAAAGGGTTGGAGATGTGGCTCAATGCAAAAGCCCTGAGTTCAATTGCAAGTAATGCAGATGAAATAAGAGTTTTGCTTTCTCTCCCTCCCCTCTCCAGTACACCATTTTGAATTGTATTGTTTTATATCTTTTTTTTATTTTAATGCTTAAGTACAGAAAAATATATAAATTAGAAATTCTAATGTTCATACCCCTAATGCATATGTACACATACAGAAGCAAACTATATACACTGTCTGAACCTTTTTGTTTAACAATTTTTCTTGAAGATTATGCCATAACTTAATATGAGGTCTATTTACTAATATAACTACAACTTCTAACAACTACATCATACTTCATTATTATAGAAGTATTGGTTTCTTCAACTAGACCTTACTGAGGGAGAGTGAGTTGTTTCCAATTTTCTGGTACTAAACAGTACTGCAATTAATAGTCTCATAGATACAATCTTTTGTTTTTCTACTAGTGTACCTTTGGGTTAATCATAGAAAAATGCTGAATTAAAGATTTAAGGTTTATATAATTTTGTGAGAGACTACCAAATTTCCTATCCATAGAATCTGTATTCTTTGCACTTCTAACAATGTTATCATTGATTATTTCAATCTTTTTAATTTTTTGCCAATCTGATAGGTGAGAAATGGTATTTGAGTAGTTTTTTACCTATATACTCATTACAGTAAGACTAAAGACAATTTTCCATATTTAAGGGATATTTGCATTTGCCTTACTATATAAACTTTTATCTTCTGCCCATTTTTCTGTAGGTTTTTTTTAAAGAGCCTATTATAGAATAAAGTATTTGCCCTTTCTCATATCTGCTGTAGTTTTTTCCCAGTTAGTTATTTGTCCTTAATTTGCATTTTTTAGGTACAAATTTTTGAAGAACAATTTGACAGTAGTTATAGTAGCTTTCACAGTGACAAAAGTACCTGAAATAGAACAGTTTTAATGAGGAAACATTTATTTTAACTCATGCTCAGCGTTTTCAGTCATGGTTGGCCAGTTCCATTGCTATGGGCCTATGGTGAGGCAGAGTATCATGGCAGAGGAGGTATGGTACAGTAAAGCTGCTCACTTCATGGAGGTAGTTGGTCACAAAGCAGAGAAAGACAGCCAGAAAGCCCAAGAGGAAAAGTCCAAGGATAAGATACAATCCCAAGAGCACACCCCCCATGACTCACTTCCTTCAACTAGATAACCACCTAAGTCTCCATTATGTCCCAATGATCCCATCAAATTACAAATCCATCAATGGATTAATCCACAGGTGGTGTTAGAGCCCTCATGATCTAATCATCTTCCAAAGTATTACCTGTGAACACATCAACCTTCTGGGAGAAATTCTGGATCCAAACCATAATAGCTATCAAAATTTCAAATGTGTAGTTTTTTATCTTTTTTTTAAATAGTCCCAGAATGGAAACATTTGTTAACAGTGAAAGGACAGGACTCATAAATTATGGCATAGATATATACTAGAATATTATACAACAATTAAAATATAGGAACAATATAGTTATATGCAATAACAGGTATAAATTTGGCATACATAGCATTGAATGAAGACATGGGGTATGATTGTGTTTATTAAAAAAATTCCAAAGTAGGTGCACCTAGTGCACAGCACTTTGAATGAGAATAAAGCTATTCTTGCGGAAAGAGGAGATGGTAGTGATTTGAAGAACGTACAGACCACATGGTTTGCCATACTAGTCATATTAAAGATGATCAAATTATTTATTTTATTTTATTTTTTTGGTACTGAGGATCAAACTTAGGCCCTTATGCTTGCCAGGCAGGTGGCGGCGGCACCACTGAGCTAAATTTGCTGCCCGCCCAAATGATTTTCTGAGACTAATCATTCCTGAATAAAGCCCTTAGTAACCTAAGAATGAAACTGTATTATCTTAAAATAATAAAATTTATCTCAGCCAACAGTATTTCTGTGAAAGTGTTCCCAAAAGAAATTCAAAGGGTGTCTCCAATTATCTAACCAATGCAATCCAGATAAAATTCATTCTATTTAATCTACCCCAGACTGGTTCAAATGGATGAAAGCCTTACAGTTTTCTCCATGCAACCTCAAACTAATCCAAGTGACTTAAATTGGTCCAAATTATATTTTCACACAAACTATCAATTTAATATCTGACCTTCAAAGTTGATATTATTATTTTCTTTTTACAGATGAAGAATAGCAGATAGATAATATGGGATAAAAAAACAAAAATAGTAATGGCTTTGACATGAGACTGCTCTGCTCTGTCACTCTGAATCTGGACACATTCCTCATCCACTCTAAACATCATCTCAAAAGGGATGTCTTAGATACATTCTCCTTGCTAAGATACAATACTCAATACCCATAACTGTAAGGAGAAAAGGTTTATTTTGGCTCACAGTTTGTAGAGGTTTGAGTCCATAGTCAGCTGGTTCCAAGGCAGAGAAGCATGGCAGAGAAGGATTGCTTATGACCTGGCAGCGGGAAGCAGAATGAGAGCTTAGAGGGGTATGGGGAAGAGATAGACCCAGACCACACCCCTAGTGACCCATCTTCTCCTACCAGCATCACATGACACATTCCAACATCATATTTAGCTATAAACCCCATCAGTGAATTAATCTCAACTGATGTGTCATGGCTCCATGAGCCAATCACCTCCCAAAAGCTCCACCATGAGCACATGGGCTTTGGAAGGACAAGATATAAACCATGAACATTCTGCCCCTGGCACCTAAGACTCATTCACATCCCTTTCTGCAAAATGAATTTAGTCCATCACCAAGAGTTGCCAGTCTTAACAATTTCAGCATTGCTGAAAAGTCCAAATCCAGTCCCCTCTGAAATTTAAGGCAAAGTCTTAGCTGCAAACCTCTGTAAAAATGAAAAGATTAAACACTTTCAATATACAGTGGCACAGGATAAACATCCCCATTACAAAAAGTAGAAATAGGAGGATAGTAAGGAGTGGGACCAAATCAAGACCAAAATCTAGTAGGGCAAAAATTAAATCCCATAGTTCCACATCTAGGACCCAGGGCAACCTGTGGCAAGATGCATACTCTCAAAGGTTGGGCAGTGTAACCCTTTCAGCATTGCTGGTGGCTTCTCTCTTAGGACAGCTTCACACATTCCTTGAAGCTCTACCTAGTCTTTCCATGGCTTTTCCAACATCCTGGAGTCTCCACTGCATGAGCTTCACCCTCCCAGCTTCAAGAACTGCCTTCTCAGGAGTACAGTGCCTTTTGAAATCTGCGTAGAAACCTCCCTGACCTTGCATTAAGGCTTGTGACTAGATAACCACACCCTGAAAAGCCTTATGCAGTCATAGGTGGGGCTTTTCAGAGGTGGCTAGATTTAGATTGTGTGATGCTAGCACTGTGTGTGATTACTAAATTAGTCCACTGATTGGCTTGGCATAGCTCTAAATGTTTATAATCGGAAGGTCCACTCTGGGTGTGAGTGCTACCCACTCAAAAGACATGTGGCCTGGATATACTAAAAGAGACAGAAAGAGGGCTGATGTGGCTGCTTGCTACCTTCCTGCCTTCTGCCTGCCATAAACTGTTTCTCCTCTGCAACTCCCCTCTGCCATGCCACCCTGCCTTGAGGCCTGCCAACTATGAACTGAAACCTCTACTGTGAGCTACAATAAACTTTTCCTCCTTTAACTTTGGGTGTCAGGTATTTTGTCTCAGCAGTGACAAACTCTTGCATTCTGAATGCCTATGAAGCCAATACCACATGGATGATGCCAAGGTCTACTGACAGCTGGAAGAGTAGCTAGGCTTTCCTTTTATCTTGGCCATAGAGGTCAAGTACCCAGATGGCTGAGTAGTATGCAGAGTAGAATGCAGAGACACAAATTCCCAAGGGGGCCATCATTCTGGAACATGGTGCCCTGAGGCTCTCTTCTCAAAGCTAAGTCTTTCACCTTTGCAATTTTGAGCATGGAAAAGGTGGAGCCATGTTTCATCACATTCCTTCAAGACATTTTTCCTACTACCCTGTACCAAAGTACTTAACTTTGTTTTAATGTAAATCTTCCCAGCAATCAAGTTCTCCTCTACTCCATCTTTTCAGGCACCAACTTTACCAGAGCTTCTTTCCTGGTGAAACTTGAAACTTTTTTTTCCTTTGGTACTGGGAATCTAACTTGGGACTGTGCACTTGCAAGGCAGGCAGTGGAACCACTGAGCTAAATCCCCAGCCCAAAACTTCTAACTTTTTAAAATCATTCAGCTGTACCTTTTGGTCTTGATTCTCAAAGTAGGCTGGCTCAAAACCCCAAACAGTAGCCATACCACCATCTCAACTGTAGACTGTATTAAAATTTCTTCCACCTGAATGATTAGTCTACCACCCTGTTATGCCTCCCACAATGTCCCAAAACAGGAGGAAGATGTAGACAAATTTCTGCCAGACACACAAATTTTCTCCACACACACATGGCTTGGAGTCCAATGCAATTCTTGTTCCCAGCTGAAACCTCTTGAGCCTGGTCTTTATTGGCTGCATTTTTATCAGCACCTTGAGCTCTGACCAGCATCTCCCATCAAGTTCATCTTACAGTATTTTAGGGCTGCTTCTCTAGCATCTCCAAACCTTTCCAAATTCCTCCCTTAAAGTCACTTCTCCAAAGGACTCTGAACCATATGGTCAGGTAGCATCACAGCTATGACTCCATTTGTCTGGTACCAAATTTGTCATTATTTTCTCATCACATTTTGGCTCACAGTCTATAGAGGTTTTAGCCCATAGTTGGCTAAAAGTTGTCCAAGGCAAAGACAGCATGACAGATGGGCATGGCAGAGAGGGCCTGCTCATGGCATGGTAGTAGGGAAGCAGGGGTGGGGACCAAATGTATATTTTCTTGAACAAACAACCTATATACTACAGGAAAAAAAAGTATGCAAACTCAAAACCCATACAAAAATGTCTGCTGGAACATCACTAGTAATTATTTAAAAATCAGAAACAAAATGTACACCAAGAATGTCTACACTTGATCTTAGCCTTTGGCTGAGAAGTGATACCAAGAGTGTCTAAATTATAAGGTTGAGGATACCTTTTCTTAAATGCTTCAGACAAGAAAAAGTATCTGATTTTGGACTTTAGATTATTCACATATAAAAATGAGATACCTAAGGGATGGGCACCAAACCTAAAAAATAAATTCATTTGTTTCACAAACACTATATAACACATAGTCTGAAGGTAACTGTATACACTATTTTTTTAGTGTGCCTGCATTTTGACTGTAACACATCACATGAAGTATGGAATCTTCCATTTATAGCATCATGTCAGCACTCAAAATGTTTCAAATTTTGGAACATTTCAGATTTGAGATTTTCAGATTAGGAATGCTCAATCTGTACTCGTATGATAAAATATCTAAGAAATATTATTGGAAAATGCAAATTCCAAAACAGTATGCTTATAACTCCATTCTTTTAAAAAAATCCTATGATTTCATATATGCATTTAGAGATCTAGAAGGATATACATCAAACTACAGAAAGTGGTAGCCTTGGTAAGTGATAAACTGGTATGACTATCACCTCCTATTCCATATATAACGTGTGGTATTAATATTTCACAATAGGTACATATTACTTAATTCTTCTAAAACATTCAATTAAAAGAGAAAACCAACTAACCTGAAAGCTAGCTAATTCTAAGTAGCACTAAAAAAATAAGGCAGAGACAAGGAAACGTGGAGGAGAAGAAAAGGTTCAAAAAAAATGTAATCGAATAAGCCAATAAGGCTACATTTACAGAAGCTACATTTACAGAAGAACCTAAATCTAGTGTATAAAGAAAAACTTTATCATCTAACTTCCCCTTTAATGGTAATTTCAGTAAAGCACCAGAAAAAAGAGCCAACTTGAATCTAAAGTCTATGTAACAGAGGATTACATATATCTTTAAACATAAGAACCACAACTTGCACTTGAAGAGGGACAGCAACTGAGAACATGATGCATCCTGTCTCATGCATGCTCTGAGGCAGACACTGAGAGTAGAATGATGGGTAGAATTTTTGCACAATTTAACTGCCATTTTCTATTTTACTCTTTTAGCCAAGCTTAATTCAATTCACATAAATTAAATACGAAATAACTCCACCATACTTTCATCCAGCCCAGAGTGCTGGTTATCAATTAAGACTACTTTCTCCTACTAAAACTTCAGGCTTTTCTTCTAACTGTACTATATTTGCAGAACTTGGATATTCCTGGGTCTTAACCCTAGTTTCAGGAACTCAATTTCTATCCTTTTGTTTATGTCCATATGCCTGACATGAGAACTGAAGGAGCCTTACCAACCAGTGTCCAAGTGATACCTTACTGGAGACCCCTGCAGTTAGGTTCCCGTTTTCTACCCAATATATGAGCCTCAGTAGGTGATCACTCATAGTTCAGTCCTCCACAATGGGGGCCAACTGCTGGAAACCCCTGCAATTAGGTTCATTTTCTACCCACTACATGAGCCTGAGTAGGCAATCACTCATAGTTCAAGCCTGCACAATAGAGGCCAATTGCTGGAGACCCCTGCAGTCAGGTTCCAATTTCCTGCCCAGTACATAATGCAGGCCTGAGGAAAAACTGAAAGTGAGAACTAAGAGAGACACAAAGCAGGGTGCCAGGACAACCAATGTCTATGCAACCAACAAAGGCACTGCCCAATCCAAGCCACTAATTTTTATTGGTAATCAACTGGGGTAAAAGCGAGCTACTTGAGAGGATGTATAGTCATGCAATTTCTGTGGAAATAAATGTAAGCAAAGCTGATGAGGGGTATAAGATTAAGAGCCTTGGAATGGCTGCTGCCATCCTGATAAATAACTTCCTTCTTCACTTAAAGTTTCCATTTCCTACCTCACACATCACCAGTCGTAAGTAAAACTGGCTCACGAACAAGGCTTGTCCATATAAGGAATGAATATGCAAGAATGACAGAGTGATTGCCCAGGCAAAGGGACCCCAAGCCTTGGCACCCCAATCCTCCCAGCCGACAACTCGTGTCCATTCGCCCAGACGTCTCTATTGTGTCCACCACTCATCAATAGGTAACCAGCCTTTATTTGCCGGTTTGTCGGTCTGGGTTTCAATTCCCACAGCGGAGACTCCGCCTGTGGCAATGACCTCTCCCCCTCCTCTAGGAGACTTGGCGTGTTCCCGGACAACTGTGGCCTCCAACTGAAAACTCCTGAGCTTAGGTCCCAAGTCTCCCCGGCCCTGTGGCCTGGTGTTCCATTCCTGAATGGTGACGACCCGCTCTAGCAGTGCTGTTTTTGCAACTCTCTTGTCCCTCACTCCACGTCTCAGTGAGCAGCGACAGAAATATCCTTTCCCCTCGCCATGGGATCGAAACAGTCCGTTTAGCTGACTCCCCCCTGTGCTGCCTACTCAAAAATCTCATGGTTCTCGGCCTCAGGCCAACTTAAACACCTTATTAGGCTTTCTAC